CTTTTTAAAAAGCCTAATCAAAAAAGGGAAATATTGGAGGCTGCCATATGTGCTGTCAGAAAGTGCACATGTACAAAGCCAAAAACAATCAATGGCACTTTAAAATTTCAGCTACCAGAATAAAGCATTTTTCTTCAAGAATTAGGTGATGCTATTCTCAGCTGTTTGATTCTGCTAAAAACTGACTTCAGATAAAACAAAGCATTCAAAAGCAAAACGTCCATGATAAGAAAACACGGCTTCATTTTCAAGCTATCCCAGACAGGGATCCCAAACGAAAGCACCACCAAACGATCCTTCACACGGACCAGAATTCCTGATCTAATGTCTTCCAGATGTGCCACCACCCCAAACCAGCATGGTTGGGAGTCCAACTCCTCTGGAAGACACCAGGTTAAGAAAGACTAATATACACCCTTAGCAGGACTACCCCAGAACAGTCTCACCTACATTGTCAAGGGTGTCCTGGGTTTACTAAGAGCTTAATTCACAAAGGAAGATAGACATGGATATTTAGGAGCATTTATTATTTCCTTAAAATGGGAGGGGAGAGGAGGGAAGAAAGAATAATCAAAAGCACTGTAGGTATGTACACACACACACACACACACACACAAATTGAGCAATCAACTAAAGGTTAAGCATACTGGAATTACTCTTTTAAATAGGAGGATACTTTTGATCAAGCCTGTTAGAAGCTGCATTGTTTCCGTTTTTGCGTATTAGAAAAGCCTATGAAGGAAAGATTATAATGTTACAGTTCTACTAAACCTGAAACTTCCACTTCATTCCTTGCAAATAAGGATAAAAAAGAAAATGAGGTTTTGTGGGGTTGTGTAACAACTATTACTAGCCTATTACATTAAGTGCCAACTGATATCTATGGCATATAAGTATGCTGTACCTTTGTTTGACACCAGGGACTTCATGGGTTATCTCCTGCATGCCGGCCTTCTTTCCTGACTGCTGCCTTTGATTTCCAGCAGTAGCAGAACCCCTCTTTTCCTCCCCAGACTCTTCTACGGGAGTGCATGTTTTTTCTCCTTCTTCAGAGACATTCTTCCCCACGGCTGCCTCTAACTTTGCTTTCTGTAATAAAGACATATCAAACACACACACAAATTAATCTGCTGTGCCACAATTACTTACGATAACCAGAAAAATGGAATTGTCCATTTCTGTGATGCTTCCTGTCCGGTTGCCAGAAAGGTACTCTTACTTTACACAAAAATCTCACTATCAAAAGATCCCAGAAGACTAATCTAGATAAAGTATGATCTCCTATTTCAGATCACCATATGTAACTTACGCAACAAAGAAAATGAATGTGGGCACACTTGTCACCTCACGTTCGTCCATGAGTGACAATCCTCTTTAAGCAAGCAATAGAAGAAAATGAAGTGTAACAACTTGCAGCATGTGAAGTCCTAGCAAACATACTTCATTACCTCTCTTTCTGGAGACTGCTATGGTCTTTATCTATAGAATAAAATGAATATGAGCTAGGTAAGCTTTAATCCTCAATCACAGATAGCTCCTATTCCTGACCACACAGCATGGAATTTAAGAGCTAGAGTTTTTCAGGGTAGAGATGTCAATTATGTCAATAATGATCTGCCCATCTTCAAGGCTGAGAAGTCTCCGGTAAAAAGTCCATTAAACCATGGGAAGGATAGGAGAAAGCGCTGGAATTAAGGTATGCTAGGAATAACGGGGAATTGCACCATCATATTGATATAAGGCATAAAGATTCTACTCTGAGCAGGCCATGTTTTGTTTTGGAGAGTCTTAAGCCAAGTACAAATCTAAACTCTAGTCAAGCCTTATTAAGTTCAAAGTTCCTTTCTTACAACTTTTTTCAATCATAGAAAAACAATAAATATTCAGGAGAAACATTCTCAGGAGGTTAATAAGATTCATGATATTTTGTCACACCTCTTACATGTGGCCTGCAAAAGTAATTGTCTCTAAGGAACCTAGGATGTAATAGGATATACAAAGATTAAAGCTGTGAATCCTTAGCTATAGCAAGGATTTTAATTAAGGGGCAGAATGTATTTATTGGTTCATGGAAAATAACCATCTATACAATCTTATATATTTACTTAGCGTATGTTCTAGCTTTCCCCCTAAAAAGAGTATTCAAAGTGGCCAAGTGTCAGCCTTGCAAGGTATTCCAGACAGGAAGCACGCCCAGATGAACTAATTCCACTTTATTACTAAGGTTACATTAATAGAATCCTGCAAATCTGAAAGCACATTTCTCCCCCCTCACCTTTACAGCCCAAGAAACTAGGAAGGGTCCCTTCTGAGATGTTTGCCATGCCCACATTCCTGCTGGGAGCTAAGCTGCCTTTTATCCAACAATTGCCCTGGCTGCAGCTCTTCCCGTCTCCCAAGGTCATTCCCACCTATTACACTAACAGAAAAGAGACTGATAGCACAAATAAGATGAGCAATTTACTTTTGAACCAGAAGCACTCTTTTGTCGCTTGGGCTCTTCTATAACTTCTGTTGTATTGCTGTGTCTCACTTCAGATTCAGGCAAAGATCTCTTCATTCCAGAGTTTTGATATTCAGTACTTGATCCTGTACTTTCGTCCTCAGAAGGTGTAACATTAATATTGTGATCTGAAGTTCTGTTGTCCATGTCTTCCTTAGAAACAGGATGTGTTAGACTTTCATCTGATGTGGATGTAGTCTCTGAAAGTTGACCAAGCCCAACAGAAATGGTGGCACAATGTTTCTTGTTAAGATCCATCTGTTTACCAACTATAAACTACCAACTATTCCTCCTCCATCTTCTCCCCTGGGACAGCAGCAACCACAGGTTGACTTACTGCATCATTTTTATTATTTTGCTCTGATTGGGCCTGGATTTCTGTTCTGCCCACAAATTCTTGGCCCTGATCTGCGTGGAAATTGCTATTTCTAATCTGGCCACTACTGTCACCAGTGGATGGTATTAAGTCAATCAACTTACCTTCTGAGTGTTGACTTTCTTCTAATGGGATTTTCACATCAGCCGTATTTGGTGTAAGTGAACATTCAAGACTGGATGGTGCTGAACTTAAGCTTGACAAGGCATTATGCAATTCACTATCTGGAAGAGTCTTGTTCTTGTTCTTTTTCTTGTTCTTCTACAAGGTAGAAAGAAAAAAAAGTCTATTTAAAATGGAGAAATCCCATTTTAGAGCATTACAAATAATTCAAATAGCTAAATTTATCCTTTTCTCATTAATTAGAATAGAAACTTCTAGATTTTTAGCACTTCAGCATACTGTTGGCTATATCTTTATGCTGGACTTCTAAAATCAAAATTATTTTATTTTAAACAGGCTGGAATATCAAATGTTCTCTCCCTTCTTGTGTCACAAAGCTTCAAATGACTGCAAACAGACTTTGCAAGTTTGCCTACAGTTTGTCATAAACAAAACGTAACTGCACTTAGAAATGTTTCAGAAAAAAAAAGTTGAAGTCACCCCAAGTAAGCCATGCAATAAGCAAAGTAGCAAGGACTAAGAACTGGGAGGAAAAAGGAAAGAAATATAATCAGAATCACAGAAAAGGAAAAGACTGATTAAAAGACTCAATAAAGGAAGTCAGTTACTAATATTCTAGTTTGATTGTTTATATTCAGAATTCAACCAATAGTATACTCCAAAATCAAATGTTTTCTTCATAGTAATTTGAAAGAACTGAAATACTAAAGACCTCAAGGAAACCGTATCTCAAAAAGGGAATGACATTATTCTACATTAAAACGGTCAGGATAACTAATAGCAACCCCATCTTCATTATAAGCAATTATCAAAACCATAACTGGATTTGAATATTGGACATATTTTCTCTTAAAATTCTGCAGGTTTTTCTCCACATGAAGAAAAATCTAAGCAATTTTATCATTTGTGATGACGGACTATTTTTTAAGCAAAAAAACCCTCAATACCTCAGTGACAAACTAAATACACTCAGTGTTGCTTTAAAAAAAAGCAATGTAAACTGTGAAATATGATTTCTACATCTTGCAATTTATTTTGTTTTGGACAAAGAAATCCTTTCTGCAGTGAAGGTGTTCCCCATTTCTTAGCCTTGCGGTTTGGATTCTATCTCCACCCACCAAACATACCCAATGCAGTGAATCAAGTCAATTATTTTCATTTTCATTGTAAGCAGGTGTGGCTTGTTTGAATTTAAAGACATAAGAGAATTCACATACCCAAACCACAGATTTTCACTGAAAAGAATTCACACTGGCTAGCAAAACACCTGTGTTAAGCCTCTGCAAAGCATGATGCATATTGCCCATTAAAAGCCTCCCGACACCACACAACAGACTCTCCTTGGTAGCCTTCAGAGATTAAGAAAATGAAAAGCGCAGCCCCAGAATGCAGAAATGTGTTCTAGTTGATAACGAATTAAAGAATGTCTCATGGAATCCAGTTGGCATAAACTCCCAGTACTGAAGAATGGGATATATATTTAAAGAATACACTGGGATAGGTAAAAAGTACCATATTTATTTCCCTTTAAGGAGAAAATGGAAAAAGCATTTTCTCCATTGCTTGTATAACTTTTAGAGAATCTTAACAGTTAATGCATTCTGCTGTTTCACACTTAATAAAAAGTACATGTATTTTAGTATGATATATCACATGAAAACCAGTCTTTACTGGATACAGAAATGCCAAGGGAAAAAAAGAGGCTGGGTACTTTTTTGTTTTTAATAAATATACTGCAAAGTCTGGGAAGGTCGCAAATGGCGCTTATACAGCCCCAGGACACTGCAACCATCGTAAGTGTGAGCTGGTTGCCAAGCACTCAGATCATGTGACCACAGGGGCACTGTGATGTAACTTCGAGCACTGGTCATAAGTCACTTTTAGCACCATTGTAACTTTGAATGGTCACTAGATTGTTAAGCAAGGACTACCTATAGATACTAGAGGAAACCACTGTGACCTCTCAGTTTTGTTTCAAAAATATATTCATGATCAGAATATCAAAGTCCCAAGTCTCAGAGTAGATTAACAACTCATGACAATAAGTCCTCAGATTACACCACATACTGGAAAAACTACCTGCTGAGGAATTGAGCATGGTTTACTGCCCTCCTTTAGGTATGGTTTCTCCCTTTTTTTTTTCTGGAAGGAAGATGATCATTCTCATCCAACACATTCCAGTCATCAACATTCAGAGTTTTTACTGCCTGTTGAAAAATATCCTTGTTTTCAGAGAATTGATCTTTTAAGAGCAAAATATAAATGTTAGCTTTTAATGCACTAAATATCAACAAACCACAGGTAAACAAGTAAATGCAGTGAAAATCAATGAGCATCTCCAAGATTCCAGTCAAGAATAAGAAGAGGGAGTAACTGAATACTCTTTTACTACAAGGAGCACCAACTTTTCTGAACCAAGCACAACCAGTATCCAAATGTACTTACTCGCTTTTGGGAGGCTGAGGTGCCCTTCCCAAGACTTCCTGATGGAGACTCTTCAGACCCTCCATGTGTTTGTTCGCTCGATGGCTGTTCATCAGCAAGTGATCCCAACAAAAGGGAGCTCTCCATCCTTGGTTTTCCCTCAGGTTCCTTCTCTACCATCGAAGTCTTTTCTGCATCCCTCTTGTCTGCAACAACAACAACAAAAATGCTTTTTGAAAGTCAATGAAGCAGCAATCTGAGCTCATCTGAGAGGTAGGAATGTGAATCTCAGGGATAAATGAAGAGGAACTATTTGCTTAAGCTACTAAAACTATCAATTTTCTACTGAACCTTTTTATTGCAAAATGTATTTGCATTCCCAGGCCTGTGCCACAGGAAACTTCAACTGTTCGATGCTGAAATTGAAGTGCACGCAGTTACTTCTCTTACTTAAAAGCAACTCTGCACATAACCTAACAGCAGGTGTATCTCAAATGCTCTCCACTTCTCTAGTAGCAGCACTCTTTCAACTGGAGAGGAACATGTTAATGGTGACATTAATAGATAAATGAATTATGTCCACAAGTCTACAAATGTTATGAGAATGAGTATCACCTCAGGAGTGGTATATATTCTAAGAGGGATGTTTATATTAATTCCATTAGATACTTTAAAAATATTTGATAATTATTAATTTTCAAGAATCTCTTTTAGAGTTGAAACTTTCACATAACGCTAAGAGTTTTAATTCACCTGATTTTCAATTATATAATTGGGCATATTTCTTAACCACTTTATTGGACTGGAACAAAAATTTGATTGATTCTGTATGCTTATGAATTCAGTGGGAACTCCACTAAATTTCCAGCATTGAATGCAGTCAGATGAATCTGGATGACACTGGGTAAGAAATTAAAATTTTATTATTGTTCTCACTTTGGGATAATTCTTTGGGATAATCCTTATTCTAAAATGGCAGGTAATTTTTGTTTGTTTGGAAAAATGGCTGGGGCTGAAAATGGAAGTTACCTTTAATTAGCTAATTATTGATACTTTTAAAAGCTTACAGAAAGATATGATTTGCCAAAAATTACTACATGGCAATACATTTAGTTAAAATGTTTGTCAGGCACTTTTCCTGGACTAGATTGTACCAGCTGCCTCAGAAACTCCTATGGCTTTGCACATATTAGATAAAATTCAAATGATTAATTCATTTTGAAAATTAATTGATTAATTCATCAGAAAATTCTTTTTTGTATCTACTGGCTTCCTCAACAGATGTTTGGAAAAGTTTGATGTATGACCTTTTTAGGCTAGAGATATAAAACATCTGAAGATATGTTAGCACACGTGCTTCAGTTACGGCCCCCGGTAGATTCTTTTTGGTTCAGTATTATTACAGGTAGTCCTCGTTTAGTGACCTCAATTGGGACTAGCAACTTGGTTGTTAAGTGAAAAAACACATGAGCACACTGTGCTTACAATTTTACTTCAGTTTTCCTTTGCTTCTTGCTACTTCCTTTAGCTGAACTGGGGTTCTTTCTCTTTCAGGACATCTTGGTATGGGTTAAATAAGCAAGTGAAAATAAGAGCAGAGAGATGCTGTGAAGGTCACAAATGTGAGGACTGGTTGCTAAGATTTTTTATGACTGCTGTAACTTTGAATGGTCACTAAACAAGGCAGTCACTAAGTGGGGTCTACCTATATTATGAACCAGGTTCTTAGAAGGAAGAGAAGATTTAAAAATATGTCAATGTATTGCTAAATTGTATTCCAAAAAATTGAAATTTGCCTACTGATGAAGAGCTTGAACTGTTGCCAGATTGATCATCCTGGGTTCCTAGAAAGACATTTGTATGCCAGTGCTAGAGCTTAGTTTGATGAAATGGGTCCCCTCTCAGCTTTTGAACTGGCTCTTTACTGAAATCAAGAAAAGGCTGACCAATGGTATTCCGTAGGCTCAAGTTCTCATTCACTGTGTAAAACTGAGTTGTGATAATTGTTACAAACTATTACTGTTGTATTTGCATAGCTGTATTGGATTAATATCTTGCTTTGATTTGTTTGCATTTACATGTTCCATTTTTCTTTTTAAATAGCTATATTAAAAAAAATTAAAAGCAGGCATATAAAGGTTACTGGGTCAAAAAAAAATGACTTGTGCCCTACTCTAACCTAATGTCCTCTAGGTATCAGGAAGTAAGTCCTGTAAATAACTATTTATTCTAAAATGAGAATAAAAACAGGAGTATAGAAGGAAGACTGAGGAGAGGGAGAGAAGCAAGCAAAAGGCTAAATATACTTATATTATTTCTAAACTTTTTTTAAAAAAAAAACATGCTTGTCAAATTATTAGTACATTTCTAGTACCCTATCTTGGTAGAATACCATATTCAGGACATGAGAGCAAACTAACACAGCACGAAGAATTCTAGAACTTCCATTTGTAATTTTTCTTGCACACTGTATTTTGATTTTTTTTATTGTGTTCCAGTTTTTACTAGAAAATAGTTGTATTCCATTTAGTGATTCATGGTTGGGGCTGCAAAGTACTTACTATGCGCACTCGAAGCAGGAGCCAAGTCTTCTCCAGAATTACTGTGGAAATTCTTTGATGCATTTTGAGTGCGATAATATTTAGGGCGTTTAATGCCCTTCTTGCGTGATCGGCGACCCAGGATGAGGTTTTTTTACAGCCTGTCAGAGAGCAGGAAAACATGAGCAAAAAACGGAAGGAGAGTTATTCACACAACTCGGACGGATAATTATGTTGCGTCTGCAAAAAGCAATTAGTGGAAAAAGGAAACGCTTTCGGTACTACACGCATAGCCGCACCGCCGCCGCCGCCGCGTCCAATCAACGCCCGCTATGCAAATGAGCCGATTGCTTTCGTTTTCCTCTCCATCCACCTACTGCCGGTAAGTGCGCCCGGTCTCCCCGATGAGAAAGCGGAGTCTGCAGAAGTCCAGGGGGTTACACTACAACACCCAGCATTCCATGCAATACGTTTCGCAAAGGGTTGCAACCCCGAAACCCTTCCTTTTTGGAATAAGACGTTTTGTTGCGTGAAAACGTCACTTTCGGTTTTGAAAAGCAAGTGTCTGCTGTATTCCTCTCCTCTAACATACGGTGCAGCGTAATTGGTAGCAGCGGCAGATCCCAGAAGAGAGGAGATAACTGAGCTACCGTTTAACCAAAAACGAAAGTGTGGGCGAGTGTAGCTCTTTGATATGTTAACGAAGATGGAATCAGCTGTCCCTCATCTCAGATTACCAGTGTCACACCCAGAAGGGTTGCAAATACTGTACAGGAAGCTAAAGAACCACCACAAACCCCAACTTGGGAAGTTACTATCCTGTAAGGAAAGCGACCTTGCAAGGACGGCTACGCGGCACCGCGTTTCCCTCTTCGCCACCGCCCCTCGTTCTCCCGTGCAAGGCAGAGCCGCCCCTCCGTTTTTTCATAACGACAAAAGGACCGAGCCCCCACCCTATCACGATACTACGAACTTGCAAAAAGCCGGACTGTTTTTCCCAGCGGCAGATCCCCCCCCCCCCCCCC